TATATATATATATATATTTTTTTTTTTTTTTTACATATTTTTCAATTTACAATTATAAATGAATATAACTAAACTAACTACAAGTCTGAACACAACTAAAAATTGAAACATAAAAATGATTATGTAGGCTTTTTCAGATTATTAAAGTAAGGAAAGCGTGTTTGTGACGTTTGATGAATTTATGCAGTAAAGTGAGACTGACGATGATGCATCTGTGAGACATCAGAGGAACTTACAGAAACAGATTCTCCATGATGTATGTGTAATCATCACAGCTGCTGTCAGGGAGGTAGCAGGCTGCAAACACAATGATGGCGTTCAGACCTTCACCATAATAACCTTAGAGAGAGAGAGAGAGAGGGAGAGAGAGAGAGAGAGGGGAGAGAGAGAGAGAGATTCAAGGTGACCACTTATGACGTTTTTGTTTTATTGCTACCAGATTATTAACTAGTAGTCAGACATTTTTATAAATAATACAGTTGAAAATAAACACTGCTTATCTTTTCACCAAGATCCTTGTTTCATGATACCAGGAAGGTTGCTTTTGTCAGAATTCTGCATTCTGTTATGTAAGACTTTTTTGTGTTCTAGATTTTTTTGGTGTTCATTAAATCTTCATCTTCACCGTCCTCCAGTTGTACGGTGTACATTTTAGGACAATCCTCGGATCTTAATCCTCACACATTAGAAAAGTCGGCCTCATTTGTCAGACCGAAGACAAAAAGCCATCAGATCTCTGACTAAACGCCATCAGAATAAAATGTCTTAGCAAAAATGGCTTCAGACGAAAAGGTCTCAGAAAAAACGGAGTGAGAATAAATCAGGCGTCACAAAAAGCTCCCAAAAGGTGGCGCCATTGTCAAAATACGTCATCAATGTGCGACAGTGGCAGACGGTAAGATAAAGGTGGCTCACATCATGGCGTGCATGAGCATTTAAATCCACACCAACAGCAGCAATGGAGGTACAAATGTGAGAACACAATCAGCAATAAATTGATGGTTATATTTACAATGTAATACTCAGCACTGTGAGAGACAAGAAATAAATAGATTAGAAATTAGCCCAAAAACACCAATACCAGTTATACCGCCATGGAGTC